AGTCCAACTCCATACCGAGAAAAGAGATCCTCTGCATCGGGGAGAGTTTGCTCTTTTCCCAGTTGACCCGAAGGCCCAACAGGCTGAGGTGCGAGAGCACCAAGTCCCTGTGTTCGCACAACTGATCCTGAGACTGAGCTAATGTGAGCCAGTCATCGAGGTAGTTGAAAATGTGAATGCCCTGTTCTCTCAGGGGAACAAGGGGAGCCTCCGCAACTTACGTGAAGACACGGGGCAACAGGGACCGCCTGGAGGGCAGGACCTCGTACTGATATGCTCGTCCTTCGGACGGGAACCGCAGCAATGGTCTGTGGTGCGGATGGATTGACACATAAAAGTACGCGTCCTTCAGGTCGATCGCTGCAAACCAATCTCGGGGACGGATGCACCAGAAGATGCGTTCCTGCGTGAACATCTTGAACGGTAGCCGGTGAAGGGCCCAGTTCAACACACACAGGTCCAAGATTGGTCGTAACCCACCGCCTTTCTTGGGTACAATGAAGTAGGGGCTGTAACGCCCCGTCTTCAAATCGGCTGGAGGGACAGGCTCTATCGCATCCTTCACCAGTAGGACTACGATCTCTGCCCGCAAGACAGGAGCATCGGCCGCTGAAGCGGATGCCACTGAACTTGGGGGGACGCCGGGCGAACTGAATCGCGTAGCCGAGGCTGATGGTCCGCAGAAGCCAGCGAGACGGGCTGGGTAGCGCTAGCCAGGCACCCAGATACCGTGCCGCGGTGGGGCAGCGAGGTGGAACGCAGGGACCTGAAGAGGGGTCTGAGTGTGCAGTGCAACACTTACCTGGTTCCACGGTTTGGCAGGGGGTGCGTGAGTAGGGCCTTTGATGACGCTCTCGAACCGCCCGCTGCTGCCTGCTGGCGAGAGAGGAGGATAAGCGTGGTCCGGTATTGGTCTGTCCGCGACTCTCCATGCCCTCTTGGGACCCAGAGACAAAGAAAACCGCTCTCCTGTCGAAATTTTTGGAAACCAAATTCTCCACCCGGCCCTCCTCCGGGGAAGGGAGAGGTGCATCTCTGGGTTGCCTGTCCCGAGGCCTCTTGCTCTTCCGCTCACCGCCAGGTTGACGGGGGCCTGGACGGGCGGGGCGGCCTGCCTATGCCCAGCTCCACAGCGCCGCTTGTTTGAGGCTGCTGCGGATGCGGCATGGGAGCGGGGGTGGATGCAGGGGGCCGCCCTCGGCGACGAGCAGGCTGGGGTGCTGCGGCCTGCGGACGGGTGGAGGCAGCAGCTGCCCACCGGGGCAGAAGTTCGGACCGCCTCAGTCTGCTCCTGTGCAGCCGAGAACTGCTGGGTCATGTTCTCGACTGCGTCGCCAAAAAGGCCGGTCTGGGACACAGGGACCTTGAGGAACCGAACTGTGCCTCAGACCGCCCGCGTTACTGCCTGAAGTAGCCCCCGCCTGACTGCCGCCATGACGAGAACTAGATCGAGGCAGAGGCAACAGAGCTCTGCCCCTTTGAGGAAACAGAGCTTGACCCACGAGTCCGAGATGATCATCTTCCCGGAATGAGAACATGACTCATCCACAAACGCCACCTCAGCGTGCTAAATGCCCAGGCACGTGAGGCAGCGATCGTGACCATTACCCAGCGCCAGGTAACGACCGCATCCAGAAATGCCCGGATGATACGTTGTCTATAGCAAGACCCACATCGTCTTTACAAAGACGTAACGTCAAGTTTGCCACGCAATGTCGTCTTTAAAAAGACGCACCCGAAATTGCTCTTTTAGGGAAAAAGCACTTTTAGCGTGCTGAGGCGCACAGGGGAGATGATCATCTGCATTACAAAGACGTAACGTCGAGTTTGCCACGCAATGTCGTCTTTAAAAAGACGCACCCGTGAATGCTCTTTTAAGGAAAAAGCTCTTTTAGCGTGCTGAAGCGCACAGGGGAGATGGCCGCCTGCAACACAAACGGGGTAGTGCAGCCTGATGTGCGCAACCCACTCGACACGGGACGGCTCACCCTCCGATGCAGCGATCGACATCCTATCGTCGGGAGGAGCACCAACGGATACTACTGGTACGCTCCTTGTAGAGGGCCCAGCACGTTCCATTGGCTGCTTAACTGGTTGCGGAGTGCAAGAGGAGTGATGGTCCCCCAAGGGTTGGTTCCCTGGAGGGTTTGCCATCACTGTTACCCTCAGACCGCCCGTGCTACTGCCTGAAGTATCCCCCACCTGACTGCCGCCATGACGAGAATTAGATCGAGCGGTCATCCGACGTGACGTCGAGAGTGACCGACTGAAAGGGAACTAGGTTGTTTTAAATTCTCCAGATGAAAATTTGATAAACATGATAAAGATCTCTGAAAAGTGGGAAACGCACACAACAACAAAAACAACTACTATTATTATTATTATTATTAAAATATTTCATGGTTTAAAATATGGGGTAAACAGTGTGAAAAATTGTGAAACTCATGAAAAATAGTCAATTTCTCCTCTAAATTAATTCGTTTATTTTGCAGATTGATACATGTATATGCTTGCAACTCCTAAAAAGACAAATTAAGTGGATCATTATTATTTATTTTATACTGTTCTTTAAAGCAGTGCTTAACTTTGCTGTTTGGCGTTTCCATAAAACATAGTATGAATGTAGCAACTGATGCTACTGTTATCAATAAAAATGTCCAATGAGAATTAGCATAACTAAACTTCCAATGTAGTTTAAATAACATATATACTTTTTCTCCACTGTCTGTGAGACTACTGTAGGTTAAAAAATGTTGGTCTGTAAACAACATCTAATTAGAAAAGATGCAGAGAAAAAAAAACTGATTCAGAAAAAATTTACAGAAAACTTAGAATTTTTAATTCAAGTTTAAAATTCAGTTTTTAAACTTTCAGTTTTCGCTAATTTCAGAATTCAGTTTTCCTTGTAGGGGCAACCTAGGGAATTTAAATCCCCTTTCAATTCTAGCCATACTGAATAGCTAGAAGAAGAAAAAATCACGGCGTTATATGGCAACACTACTATAGTGGGTTAATTACACTGAACAAATGATGACTAATTTGTTTGTTATATGGATTGTTTTATTCGGCTGTCACTCTTAGATCAAAATTGAAAAATCTCTGTAAGGCATGAGTGAGACTAAAACATGTACGACATGTTGTGTACAGTAGGTTCATGGAGGCAGAACAATGAGTTTCTGTTGCCCATGGGCAGACAATGAAGCAACCATGACTTGGCAAAAAAGAAAGACCGCCCATACTGTGGATCTAAGAATACCTGTGTAATAGCTGTATGAATTTGTAATATGAATTTAGAGAATTAAATAAAGTACCAGTTGTATTTAAAGGTAAGGAATCTATTCTTTGTCTTGAGGGAGCATCATATGTACTTTAATAATCACAAATGGGTATAAACCTGCTTCTTAACCAACAATCCAAATCTGCTGGTAGTAACTAACAAGAGTGTAAACATAACAGAAAACCTCTTTAAAAGTGAGTTGGCACAAAGTTCACAACAAAGCTGTGAATGTAAAACAATGTCCCCTGAACTCCTCAGGAAGGTGGCAAGAAGTATATGAGAGCTTGTCCTTGACATTATCATAAATCATATAGGGCCTCCAGAAAAGTGGCGATGGACCAAGCCTGTGTTTCACAACTGAACGGGCAGTACTGTCCATTTTCATTGGTCAGCTCAGGTAAACCCTTCCAAGGTGATCTAAATCAAAGAGAACATATAGATATGAAATGTTGTATACTGTGCAAATGACTCAAACACTGAATTTCTAAACTCAATCTTCTGTAGATTTAAATCACTCGCCTTTTTTTGAAAGAAATGAAACTTTTTGTGTTAGTCTGAGCTCTGCAATACCTTTCTAAATGGGTATAAATTCTAGACAGAACATTCTTGACGAGGTACACGCTTTCGTTGTACTTCTCCTGGCCCATTTTCTTAGCGAAATAAAGCTTGGCTCGTAAGAAGTATCCAACTGGCCACAACCATTCCTGTAAATGATGAAATGTGCATAGTTAAAAAAAAACAATGAAATCTCTTACATCTGAAACAATTTATACTTGTTGAAGGGATAGTTCACACAAAAATGAAAACTGTCATCATTTACTTCCAAACCTGTCCGCGTTCACTTCCATAGTATGGAAAAAATACTATGGAAGTCAATGGGGACCAGAAACCATTCCACATTCTTCAAAATATCTTATTTTGCATTCAGCAGAAGAAAGAAATTCATACTGGTTTGGAACAACTTGGGCAAACTATCCCTTTAATGTATGAAAACATACAGGTCCTTGGTGATAGTTGAATCCTTTCGCACAGTTGTAGTTGTCATTATCCAGGGCGTTGTCATAAATGCCGCAGTACACCAGATCACTGTTAAACAAATACAGACACTCCAACATCAGAGATTTCTACATACAAATGACTTCACCGATGCACAAATACTCTTGTTCTAGACTAAAACACTTATCAAACCATGTTCAGCCAGCCAGCCAAAAGAGCACACTTTTAACACAAGTAGCTGCTTAACCAATGGGCAGACAGCAGGTGTTGTTTTCTACTCACTCTGGATCCAGCGTTTTCATTCCCAGAGGACCGAGCAGTTTCTTTTCTACAATCTCTAAAGCCTCCCATGCTCTCTGCACTGTAAACAACTCTGGTGCCTAGTAAAAGAAAGGACTGTAAGAGAACACAGAACAGCCCCAAAAATAATTTTTCATAAGCACTTGGACTCACCACCACCATGGCGATGGTGAAGTTAGGCCTGAGCTGGTAGTCACACCAGAGGCTAGAGGCCCCGTAACTGTCTTTGTAAATGCATTTCTTGTGGACCAGTTCAGGATGTTGCTCATTTGGGTCTGCAGGGTCATCTGACACATAGAAAAACCTTTCAAAATTCTCCTGGATCCTTTGATTCCACTCTTTATAGGACACCGACTGTTCTGTTCCTGGAAAAATTACACTGTAATGGTTATGATATCTTTAAAATATATGAAATATGATTAGCATGCTGTCAGCTGATTATACTGTATCATAACAGTGAATCGTGATACTACTGAAGGTATGTATTTTCAACAGGACAGGAATGACTAGACTCAAAAGTGAGTCGCTGTAGCAACATTCCTCTTGTTCTGGTAGTAGTTTTAACCTTTTTTTGGAGGAAAATAAATAAAGTAAAATGAAATTCATTACTGGTACCTTATTTTGTAATAATAGAAAATAAAACTAAAAGATTTAATTACTGGAACCTTATTTTGTAATAAGATTTTTTAAAAATCCCCCTTGAAAAAACAATTACTGGTACCTTATCCTATAAGAAAAAATTAACTAAAAACAAAATAAAATAAAATTACAATTTAATTACTGGCACCTTATAATTAAATACAATTAAAAATAAAAATAAATAAACAAAACATTTCATTATTGCCACTTATCTAACAAAAAAAAAATCAATTTCTGGCACCTTATTTTGTAACAAACAATAATAAATAAACATTTACAGTTTCATTGAGAATGAGAAAGTATTAAAGAAGATGTACCATCTCTGTGTATTGTGACAGAGGAGTATGGGAAATTTCCATTCTCATTCATCGTCATCAGCCAGCGCACCGCTGACTTACAGAGACCCACAATCTCCACCACAGAGCCGTCCCTGCACATAAACACAACACCATTATCCACTTGACATATTGAGGACTGGTTTATCCAAGCTCAAAGCTACTCAGTCTCAGTGGTTCACATTGAAAGAGTTATTTTGTGCTAAATATAGTGGAGCATTATTATATGGGTTTAGCATGACAGGTATGTTAGCGTGTAGTTATAGTACCTGGGTGTGGCTGGAACACCTCTATTATGGGCTTTGTCACTCTCTCCCATTTTATCCATCCACGTCCCACAGTTGAAGCGATTTCCACCGTAAACAAATCCCGTCTCGGGATTTACTTTGGCCTCCACGTTAAAGCCTATGGGACAGGACAATAGGAAAAGCAAGGTATGGTTTGAGACAGACATGGAAAAACAGTCTCGAGTCAGAAAATTACTCACCTTCATCTCGCATGTTGTGGTCGATCTGTGGACCTGCGTTTCTCTCTCTGAACTCTACTCCCTGCATATGACGCTGCATAGCCTCTTGAATAACCACATATAACGGCTGGTCGTGAACCTGATACAATTCATGAACAATAATATTAACAGCCTTTAGTCCAAATGAAACCATGCCACATCAAAAATAAACATAAAAAAAATATTTTGTGCATATATACGTATTCTTCATAATCTGATTAAATACATAGAGATTTGCCTACTAAAAGTGTTATATACTCAACATAAAATTTGACCACCGTCATTTTTTTTAACAATACTTTTGTAAAATGGTTGTTTGATTATACAAGACATTTATGTAAATTAAAGTTACAAATCAGTATGACTTTCCTCCATCCATGGAGCACAAAAGGTGATTTTTTGTAGAATATTCTGGCCACACTTTTCAATATATCACTTTCAATATGAGGACTGGGGCTGTTAAGCTCGAAAATAACTAAAAGCTCCATAAAAGCAGCATAAGAGTGGTCCAAATAAGTCATTTAATCCAATAATAGTAAAAAAATATATAATATAATCATATAATAGCATAGTATGATGAATTGCATGTTATCTGTCCCTAGATATCCATGGCACATTAATGAGCCAATTTCATAGTATTTCCATGGTGCTTTTGTGTTGTTTTTGAAGTTTAAAAGCTCCAGTGCCCATTCATTGTAATTGCATGGACAATTAAATTTTGTGTTAAACAGAATAAAAACAATCAGTAAACAATATCTAAAGACATAAGCCTGCACCTATTATGAACCGTGAGATATTACATTTAGTATATGAGCAAAACATCTCTATAAGATAATGGCCTTGAAAGATGCAAACCGATGCTAATGTAATAAGCAACGGTGAAACAAAATCATAAAAATTATATGTTTATTTATTCCAGTGGCTAATATGTTGCATGTTATATGGAAGTTTGGTAAATTAAGTTTAAAAAAAAGTACCTCCCCTTACTGAATCATATAAGTAGGGCAGGGCATTGTACTATATCAAGTATCATAAGCAGTCAGAGATTGTTTCCATTGTTCTTACCACTGTCCCCAGGGGCTGTGCCTCAGAGTCATCAGTGGGATACATACGTGACACAGGGCACATAAGAATATCTGTGCCATTGGGCACGACATTACAGTAGTCCTGGATACACTGAAGCCACCACCATACTGCATCACGGCAGTTATAACGGGCTGTGACACCCTGACCCAGCAGATTAGGGATCAGACCATGGCGCATTGTGCCAGCAAAGGCCAAGATGATATTTCTGTCAGAAGCAACATCAGATTAGAGGATGATTTCAGAGTCATTGGTATGTATTCTAAAACTAGATGCTCACCTGGCCTCCAGGTACCTCCCTGTCAAAAGCATGAGGCCGCGCAGCGCTATGAAAGTGTCTCGCCCCCAACAGCGGAAGATTCCAGTGGAGAAATGTGGCAGACCTGCATAGGTGATAAAATTTTTTTCATAAAACAAGTACCACATTAAAAAGTATGTAATATGTAGAAGTGTAGAAGTTGGTACATCAATAAGAATCATTTTAATCACATTGCAACTTAAGCATTAGAAAGCATGTCAATATGGTAGTATATGCGTATATAGGCACAGCAACACTTTTAGACAATATGCACTTGGGGCCCTGTCTAGTATCAACCATGTGGTTTTTTTTTCTTTAATTTAAAGCATTAAATAAATATAAACAGTCCTGTCAATCAAATTATTTACAGTAGATGGAACTGTATGAATCCAACCTGCAGCAAGAGAAATGCAACACTGCTCCTCTTGTTTGGTCACACTGTTGAGTCGGACCGGGACATCCTCCAGTTCAGGGGAGAGGGGCGGCAGGGCAGGGATACGACCCACCCCACACATCTGAACTGACCCCAGGGCCAGCTGCTTAACCAGGGTCGACCCGTTCTGAACAAAGCTGGAACCCATTACACACATTTACAATCTACACCCCACACACAGGACAAATATTAAATACACTCTCACACTCTTAAATATTACATTTAACAGAGAACTAACCTGGACATTTGGTTGAAAACAGCATCTACAGCTGTGGCGTACGCCCCGACAATAATTGCATCAAAATAACATGGCACTAAATAGCGTGGAATATGTTTGAGGTATATAAAAACAGCGCTGAACCACTTTCCAACCTATGATAAATTTAGAAAAAATTAATTTAGACAAGTAGTATGCCACATCAAAACATTTTTACATTTTATAATTTCATATTATTACTAAGGTAATCTGAGTGATTTAAAAAGGATGCTGGACGAGTTGCATGGCAAACTTTATTACTTAAGTTCTTTTACCAAACATTACTAAAAAACATTTCCTTTCCTACCTCCCGCAGAGCTCCACCCTTATTCATCAGGCGAGAGCTCACGTAATCGATCATCCAATCACCTTGTCTGAGATTGTCACAGAATGGATGTCCAAGGTCATTTTTGGGCCGAATCTCAGACAACACTGACACAAAACCTGTGAGTAATGAAAGCACGAGGCTTATACAGTCACATAACTACTACAGTCACCCGAAACCAATCCTGTTACATGTGAATTTTGGTACCTTGTAGGCCTCCATACTTCAGCGGCATCCAGGATGGTATATTGTAGCAGCCGCCACCATCTTCTTGCTCCTCCGCATCACAGAGGAATAACAACACGTTCATCTCTGCCAGAGTCAGTTTGGACATTAAACTGCCACATAATTTAAAACAACAGGCCTTAGTGAGAGAACTGAATTGAAAGCAAATGAACTGATGCATATCATTATGTATTAAAATGAACTGTTAAACAGCACATATTTTGCCTTCTAAACAAATGAGAAGCAAATGAATAACTTTCATTGGTATTTCACTTTCTAAACAAATGAATAACTGGGAATTGTATTTGAACATGATTAACGTAAAAATGACTCACAAGTCTAGAGCTATTTTCAGGATGCCAGGCACATTGCTGTCAATCAGACTGCCGGATTTATACAGCCGGTTAAACTGTGAGAGTTGAGTTCGCAAGTAGCCGACCATTTTCTGAGAGTTTGGATCGAGACTCACCCTGTGAATTCAGTTACATGTTGAAATTAATTAATTAATGTTAATTTAAAGGAACAGTTCACCCAAAAACTCATGTGCTCATGTGGTTTTAAACTAGAAAATGCTGTTATTTTTCAATGGAACACACAAAAAAACACCTCCCCATCTTTCAAGCTCCAAAAAGACGAAGGAGCACTATAAAAGCACCATAAAAATAGTCTATACGATTAGTGCTCTTGTCCTTTTTGGAGCTTGAAATATCAAGTGATATGGAAAAATCTGGAAGTTTCTTGAAAATATGTTGTGTGTGTGTGTTCCATGGAAGAAATTACAGCATTTTTCCTTTCATGCACACATTATATTTTTGTTGGTTTGTTTATGGTTAAACACCTTGCCAGCTTCTGTGACTATTGTTATCTTCATGGCAAGAAAGGTTACAAAATATTTTTAGGCGTGTTTCTCAAAGGATTGACATGAGGTTGAATAAATATTTTTATTTATATAAAAAAAAAGATAACCACTTAAAATATTTTTCAGAAAACTTTAAGCCATGAATGATTGAAAAAATGACAAACAATTACAGTGAAACCTATTATATAAGACTGCATTAAACAGGATTAATTTCATTTGGTGTGTGTTTGTTTACCTGAATGTAATTACACTACCGGGTGTGAGCTTTTCAAAAAAAATCTCCTCAACAAACTCACTGCGGCCCTCTGTGATGGCATCTCCCTGTTTTACAATTTCACTGTCCTTTAACTGAAAACAAACACATGTATTCAGGTCTAAATCAGAAGGGACATGCTTTGCACACGTGTAGCCGTCAAGAAACTATACACTTACACGAAGCTTCATTTAAAAAAATCAGCGTACAAAAACAAAGAGCATGCCAACAAATACCCACAATACCAACAGAACAGGTTCTCTGTTTGTTAGTCTTTTCTCCGTCCGATGACAGCCCTAAAACTGATCCCGGCAGCCCTCCCCTTCATGTCACAGCGCAGCTGTTACCTACACTAGTGTCATGTTACCTGGATGTGTTCGCGGATCTCAACCGTGTAGTTCGGCATGCCGTTAATAAACCTCTCATCTTTCACATATGACTCAGCTTTTCTCTCCACTGTATGCGCTTCTAAAATCACCTCCTCGATTTTACCTGCGCAATGAGATGGCAGATAAGAAAAAACATGTCTTTCTGGTTTATAAGTATAACTGATTCATAAGAAATCATACTTCAGTGACATCTGAAGTGAAAATTAAATGCTCAAACTACATGATGTGCCACGCATAAAATAAGACAGATGAGTTTGATTTCAACAAAATAACTGGAAAGCAAAGGGCATTCAGCACTAAAAGCGTTTGTACCTGGGATGTACATGGGGGCTAGATGCGCTCTGTATTGGTGTGTTTCTAGGTTTTTAAAGGCCGTACGAGACACAGTCAAAACAGACTGATGTGTGCTGGGACAATGCCTGGTCACAGCCACAGTGTCTTCATCCAGCTGATCCACGTAAACCTGTGACATGCATGATGAACAGATATAAAGACACAAACAGTCATGTGCACATAAGACTGATGGTGGTGTAGTCAAGTGGTAAGAACAGGTTTAAACCCTACAATGGGTCCTACCACCCTAGTAAACACTTTACAGCTCAAATAACACATATCTGAATACTGAAAGAAATAATTTACAGCGATTTGAAAAAGTATTTGGATAGTTAAAGATGTGTGAATGTCTTTGGATTAGATAGTAAAACTCAGTGGTATTTATTTTAAAGAAATAAAGTACACTTTTTAAGCAAAATAATTAACAAAAAGAGTTTTTTTCATGTTAAACACTAGATATGTTGTTCAAAATGAACTCAAAAATATCTGAATGCTTTATTGTTGTCAAATGTTAGTAGAAATGCAAAAAGAGCTCATAAAAGTGAAGTTTGTCCTGATAAAAGGTCATTTGTTTGCAGATGCAACTCTACTGAATAATTCATGTATTCATATACATTTCTTTCATTTTTTTTATTCATACATTTTTGGTTAAAAATTATTAGACATAAGGTTTATACACAAAAGGTGTATTATCTTGAAAATAAAAAATAAAAATTTGTAGAGTTTAATTAGAGATATAATAAACAGATACTTTTTTTAAGTGTATCTTAACGGTTCAAAATTTGGGCCACTATAAGTGCTTTAAATAAACCTGTTTCACATTTCTTATTTAAAAAAGACTTTCCATCCTAAGTTCATCTCTCTATAAACAACTTTGATATGAGGGACAAGCTGAAAATATTTCCAACAGCATGTCTCAGATGTTAAATCTGAACCTGAAACATTTCTTTAATCTAAATTTAACCCAAGGGAATAAAACTGTCAGGCAAAGTGACTAATGAGTTTACTCAGTAGTTAATAAAGAACTTGATTACCAGTATCAAAGTCTCATTCTGCTGTTAGAGGTTGTGACTCATAATACATTTTTTTGATATCTGTTATGAGTAAACATGATCCTGACCTGGGTGAAGCCCTTCTCTGCCAGCTCTTGGTGGAGTTTGTTGAGGGCAAGTTTTCCTGCCATTATACCAGTCTGGAGGTTCACCTCAACAGAAGAGGGCAGTGCATCAGGATTCCACTTGGGGTACAAACGCTCTTCCTTTACTACTGAAATCTGAAGAAAAAACAAGTTTGGTTAGCTTTACTAGTCAGCTTGTGCTGGTAGACAATGTGCCAACACCATTATGTGGACAAAACACATTTTTGCATACACATTTGCAACATATTTGCCTGTTTGAGGCAAGGAATTCTAAAATGAAAAACCATGGAGGGGAGGGCCTTTTCATACAATGCGCTTAAGTTATGGAACTCAATACCTGCATCGATTAGGAATGCTGCCTCGTTGGATTGTTTTAAGAAACTTCTTAAGACACATCTTTTAAGTAATGTTTTTTACTTTTAATTTATTGCTGTATTTTGATATTATGTATTTGAGAAAGGCGTATTATAAATAAAATGTATTATTATTATTAATACAGAGTGATCAGTCACAAAGCATTTATGGCTCAGATGACTGGCTCAAAATTATTTCAGAAACTGTGAAGAAAAGATGGCAGCATCCAGGTTGTGCTTGTGCAGTGTTGCATTTACAGTGGAGTTACTCCCATTGAGATGAATGGGAATGATAACCAATAGCTTTCTACAGGTATATTAGAACCCCCGGGAAACATTTTGATGTGAAAAGAAGGAAAAAAAATAATAACAGAAAGGCTTTTGTTTATTTATGAAAACTGACCCAGATACAAACTGAGTGATAAGAACAGAAATGATTTGTAGAGGGAGAACAAAGGATTCTTCTTACATAATTGGGACTGACGTAAACTTTTTTTTTAATCTGTCATACAAATCATGAAGGAGAAATGTAATATGATATTTATGTAACAAAACAAAATCTCAACTTTAGCTGGCATTCAAAAGTTTGGGGTCGGTCAGATTTTTAAAAGTCTCTTATTGTATGCTCACCAAGTCTTTAGTGTCACATGATCCTTCAGAAATCATTCTGCTGATTTAGTGCTCAGAAAACATTTCTTATTATTATCATTGTGAAAACAGTTGTGCTGCTTAATATTTTTTGTGGAAACTGTGATAATTTTTCCAGAATTCTTCAATGAATATAAAGTTCAAAAAGACAACAAGTCTTAATGTCCCTTTTGATCAATTTAATGCATCTTTGCTGAATAAAAGTATTAATTTATTTTAAAAAAATCTTTCTGACCCCAAACTCTTTTATGGTCATGTATGATCGAAAAGCAGAAAAATGCTCCCTTCAAAGAAAGTAGAAGTCAACATGAAATGTCCAAATCCAAAGTTTGTGCAACACCCTGTCTACTAAGATATTATTTGTCATCTTAAGGTTCCTTGAATGTGTTTTGGAATATTAGATATGACATCATGGTGACTTGGAAGCAGGGCTGCATGATTATCATAAATATAATATATATATAATATAATCATAATATATAGTGGTAAAATCATAATTGTCGATTATTCCCTTGAAATTGTAATTGTGATTATTAATTACGATTATCACAATTTACACTGAATGATGTTTATACAATTGTTTGAAGCAACTTCATGCCATATTTTTATATGAACATAAACAAGCTGAAAAGACTAATTGAAAAACTTGTTTTGCTTTTCTATAGTATTAAGCCTCAAATGTCAATTGTACATTGGATTGGTTTCTACTTGAAATAAAAAAAGTAAAAATATGCATGGTATTATAATGTTATACTAAAACTAAAATTAAAACTATGGCAAACCCCTTAAGATAACATGTACAAAGAAAAATCACCTTAAGCATGCAGAATAACATAAGTGGACTTTGAACGATTACGTAATTGTGGCATCTGAAATTGTATTTGCGATTACAAATTCGATTAATTGTGCAGCCCTACTTGGAAGCCTTGCAACCAGTTTTCTTAGAAGGTGCCTTTGCACTAAAATGCCATCTGTTTAATCACTGACTGATTGGTAGCAAGGCCTTAGGTTTCAGACACAACAAAATCACCGCAGAGATTTGTACCTGTTGAGGTACGAGCTCATCATATCCTCTAGTGCTGCCTGAGGCACAGCAGGCCATAGAGACGATAGCAGTACTGGCTAAAGCATCAAACACTGAACGAACCTACAAGAAAAACAGATTTTAATTAAAAAATATATATATTACATAGTATAAAATACACAGTAAAACAAGTAATAATTACCTCAACATATAAAACACAAAATAAAAACACTTTACAGGATGTTAAGTCTGAAATACTGTAGGATGTGTTGGCCGTTCATATTCATATGCTTTTTGCCATCAGTTACTTTCACTGACCAGAATGGGACATTCGTTGTCGTTGGTAACATCCAAAAACATGGCGTGAGCAACTGATGGCACTAAAGGCCTGAGGTTTGGCTGTACGAATGAACCTACAGGCTCCCCTCCAAAACGATAAACGAGTCGACCTTCCTCATGGCTGTCCCCGGCACTCATGGCCTCTGATGATGACAGAACAGATCTTCTCAGGAAATGGGATCTTTCATAAAAAGGTCAAACTTTACATAACAGGGTTGATGTTGCAGTATAATTAATTAAATTTTTTTTTAACTACGGGCACTACTCTCACTAGTATATTTAATTTGTCTAACAGTGTGTGTGTGTGTGTGTGTGTGTGTGTGTGTGTGTATATATATATATATATATATATATATATATATATATATACACACACACACACTACCACCACACCCTCATTGCTCATTGGTGTTCAAATAATATTTTCAACATTTTTAGAATAATTTGACAAAATTATATCTTTATTCAAAACGATGCACAATAAAAATACACTATTTTTTTTTTACTTTATTAATGGCAAATGTTGGTTATGATGTAAATGACAACACAACTCATATTGGCATAAAAACTGATATAAAATATTTTCACACAATAAATATTGAAATCTTTTTATTTATATTTTGCTGAGATTATCATAGCTTTCAAAATGTTTGTTTTAATTATCCATGTGTATTGTATGGGTCAAGGGTAGAACAATACAACTGAAACATAAAAGGCTAAAAAACACAAGCAAAAATAAATGACAATTTTAATGTGGCCTTCATATAACGAAAATAAATTAATGAAAAAAACAACCCATACGACAAGTGTCCATCCATATCTATCTAACATCTCAAATTTAAGAATATTCTTTGTGAAACACAACTCAAATTCTATCAACAGCAGCTGTGGTGTTTTTAGCTAATTTTGAGCAACGAGTCAAAACTATTTAGTGTCATAATCAACAGCGTGCTGTATTTGCATTTCACACATCATGTTCCTTATTTCTGTGTGTCACTGCAACTGCATTTCCCAATCTCTTTGCGTCTTACCTCGGATAAGGGCGGTAATGCCAAGCCTAGTCATAAAGATATTGTCCAGCTCCTCGCTACCAGTGAAGAGCTCAGCCACCACATACAGATCAGGCCTATGTTGACGAGCAACAGCCAACATATACTGCAGCCCACCCAGCAGCAGGTTAGATAGATAGAATGATAGATAGGAAGACAGAACGATAGATAGATCGATAGATTGATAGATAGATAGAATGAAAGCAAATTAAGCAAGACAGACAGATGATGGTGTGAAATGTACGACAAAGAATTGGAACATGCTCAGGTTACATAATCAGACATTATTGCATTAGGACATTAAGCAGGTTTATTAGTAATGAAATGTGTTATTAATGACATATTATTCGTGAGCACATGAAATGCACAAGGTCAAAGTAGGTGATGAAGAGAAAGAGTTAATGTTGCCAAAAAAGGTATGAATGTTTTGAGTAAAAAGCGGAGAGGAAGAAAAAAAACACAAAAAGCTAATTTAGCATCAAGGGCAAACGTGTCTCTTGCAGTCTGCAGTACCTCTGACGAGACTGGTTATTCCCAGCCGATTAACAAACAAATTGTCAAACTGTTCACTTCCTGTAAAGAGTTCGGCTATCACATAAAGATTGGGCCTGACCACTCTGGCTGCAGCTAACATGGCCTATAGACACAACATACAAGTTGTCACATCCAACAGTACATGTCAAATACCTGCAGTACAACCTCAGAAGGAATGACACTACATATTTTCAACATGAAAATGGTCACTTTATACATTTACAATGACATTGCAGAACATTCTGAGTTCCTGCCTGTTGCAAATGATGTCATTTGTATAAATAAATCATGAAATATGCATGCAGATCAAAAATAAAGTAGAAATCTGAACACGTACCTCAGCCACATGAAGGGGTGTGGAGTGGCAGTTATCCAGACGTACACCGGAGAAATGTTTGGCTGTGATCTCCGTGTACTTCTTCATGTGAGCCCATAAGTACGGACAGTCCTCTGGTTTGTCGCCATAGCGAAGTTTCACGCTGTCACCCCAGCAAACAAGCTCTCTTCTGAGGTAAACATTACAGCCTAACAGACAGATAAATCAATTACCAGGCTCCTTAACCAGCTAGACATTTTTAGTCACCAGAAACACAATGCAAGTTTTTGCAATTTCTAGACCAGCACCAAACCAGCATCAAAAAGTGTGCACCAGCATGCTGTTATTTTCATTACCGTTCAGCAGAAACCAAAATTGACATATATTTTGACTCACCTGGCTCTGCAAAGTTTCTAAGCGGGTCATCTGCCATAACCCATCCATTATGGGCGAGCAGATGACAAGCATCATTTGGATTCTGCATCAGCTGGTTTTCCTGCTCCATGGTCATGTCCTCAAATGGGAAGGTAAAATATCTGAATCATTAAAACAAGGCTGAACTGTAAATCTGCCATTCTCATCAGCGTACTGTACAATAAAATGCTAAGTTTACAAAATACCAGGCGGTTACAATGACCACTTCTGAGGAAAATTTTGATTTATTAATTTAGATTTATTCATTTGTGGAATAAAACAGTTTTGTTTGAGGTACTTAAAGTAATAATTCACTCAAAAAAAAAAAAAAATCCTTAATTTACTCAGGCCATCCAAGATGTAGATGAGTTTATTTCTTCATCAGAACAGATTTGGATTAATTTAGCATTACATCAGTTGCTCACCAGTGGATCCTCTGCAGTGAATGGGTGCCGTCAGAATGAGAGTCCAAACAGCTGATAAAAACATCACAATAATCCACAAGTAATCCACACCACTCCAGTCCATCAATTAATGTCTTGTGAAGTGAAAAACTTAAAAAACTGATTATAAATGCCATCATTAAGGCATTTTAACTTTGAACTGTAACTTATAATCAGAATTCATAATAACACTTCCTCCAGTAAAAAAGTGCAACCCGTTGTCATCTGCCATCATAATCCACCAACATATTTGTTTAGAACCATTTTGGACCGTTTTCTCTTGCAAACAGTGTTTAATCTGTGCATGTTTCTCTCTTGATTTAGACTAAATGTCTTTTTCACTGGAAAAAGCACTGTTATGGATAGAGGACTTGTAATTTAGCAATAGAAGCAACGGTTTGAAGTTAAAATTGTCATCACTTGTGGATTATTGTAATGTTTTTATCAGCTGTTTGAATTCTGACGGCACCCATTCACTGCAGAGGATTCAATGGTGAGCAAGTGATGTAATGCTACATTTCTCCATATCTGTTCTGTTCTGATACACTTATCTAAATCTTGGATGGCCTGTCAGCTGATTTTTTACTTTTTTTACATCATGTAAATACAAAGCAAGCTGTGGCTGGCTGCTTTAAGTCAGTCAGATGATCTCTTCCTGTCTAACTGGGCAGTTCTTGGCCAGAAGAAGTTGCAAAGCAGACCAGACTTTATGATGCCTGTGTTGCTCCGCAAGACTACATCATTTTTACCTAGTCACCAAAGGGTTTGTCCGGGTGACAGGTCCAAGTTGAGGGCCGTGGGAGGCGAGTCTTTCATAACAAACCGTTTCCACTATGCAGTTTATAGCCTTCAAGAAAGAAATGATATAAAGTAATCAGATTGACATCAAAGCTAAACAGACAGATCATCTGTGAATCTTGTACACAGAAACCAACCTTCTCATGATGACTATGCATTTCCTTATAGCATTCCGCATTTAGTTCTTCTAGACTCATCTTAAACCAATCACAGCACTCTTGGATGGATTTGGGACCGTTACTGTTGTTTTGATAAGCACACGGAAAATAAAATTAATTTGTTTACAAAGTGCAGCACAATGGCATAATTATAAGAAAAACAGATATAAAATCTAGATTTAAAGAAGAAATAAACTAATAATAATAATAATAATAATAATAATTAGTGCTGGGCACCGATTAATCGCATCCAAAATAAAGGTTTTTGTTTACATAGTATATGTGTGTGTACTGTGTATATTTATTATGTATATATAAATACACACACATGCATGTATACATTTAAGAAAAATATATTATGTTTATATATTAAATATATTTATATATATTATATAAATGATGTGAATATAAATATATACATGTAAATACATGTAAATATTTTCAAAATAAATACTGTGTGTGTGTGTGTGTGTGTATTTATATATACATAATAAATATACACAGTGCACACACATATATTATGTAAACAAAAACTTTTATTTTGGATGCGATTAATCGTTGCCCAGCACTAATAATAATAAACTACCAGTCAGAAGTTTGGATAAGATTTATTTTTTTTTAAATCTTACTGACCCCAAACTTTTGTATGGAAGTGTATATTTCCACAAAATATTAAGTAACTGTTTTCAACATTGATTATAATAAGAAATGTTTCTTAAGCAGCAAATCAGCATATCAGAATTTTTTCTGAAGGATCATTTGACCGCAAACTGGAGTAATGTCTGCTGAAAATCTCACACTTTTGTAAATAAATAAATAGATAAATGAATAAATACTTTGACCCTTTGTACTTTGACAAATATATAAAGTGATGTAGGGGCTGCCATGTTGATATTATATGACCATCTGAATATTATTACTTTATTATGATTATACTTATCTTGCTTACCCTGACCTTTTCATGTGAGATAATTAAGAACTAAACATAGTCACATGGTCACAAAAAACAAATATTCTATCCAAAAAACATTAATCATTAAACAGAACTTGAACAGGAAGTGAACTCACGTGTGTCTGCCAAACATCTCCAGGGCCAGCTGCATGTCTACAGTGTTGCTGAAGCGTCTGTACTGTGAATCCTGGATGACTTTCAATTTGGGCTTTCCCTCCAGCTCAGGCCCCGCAGGTCTGTTACCTACAGATGGCAAATATACCCAAATCAGACCCTACAAAATACAAGTGAAAGAGCATCCAAGAAAATACTAGAAGGCTTGAAACACTCACCAGCCTGAAGAACCTTCCTAAACTGCTCCACGTTTTTCTCAACGTTTACCTGTAGAAACTCCCATAGTTTCAGTTGGGAGAAAACTTCTGTCCACAGAAGCCCTTGAAGGATCTGAAACATCAAGCCAATTTATTGGTCACCACAAACTTTAAAGTATTTATGGAATGTAAAAAACCCGTGACACCCTCAAGACTTACAGTTATGCCTTTGTCATTCTCAATAAGAGGTGGAAGGCCACTGTCGCTGTATTTCCCATCTGCTACGGCACAGCTGAAATGCCACAGGGCTCTGTCCAGCAGCCAGGCTGGCTTCAGATAAGGAGAGTTTACCAGGTTATAGCCACACTCTGGATGGAGTCGGATCCACTTACTGTTGGCAGCTAACCAAGGGAACATAGACATTATTTCATCATCATCATCATTCAAGACCATTTATCCATTTTATTTCAGCCAAAAGGAGTACTTTGTTTTCAAAACCCAAACATATGGAAGTACAATCTGGTATACCTGTTAGTATGGGATTATATTACATACACTAGATCAACAGTGTGCACATATTAAGGAAATGAAAAGGTGACATGTAAACGTACTTAAGTGTCTGATAAGTACTGGTACGTTTGCACATAATAAAACAGTAAAATCAATTTCAAAATGGCTCATTAAATGTGATAAACTTCAGTCTTGTGTTTAAAGAACTGCTCTGATTCCACATTATCTGTATCACAGCCGTTCTGTTCCACAAACGATGACAGCTGTGTTTAAAAGATTAAAGAGCAGCAAACACTTCCTGTGGCAACTTACCAAAGACATCAGAAGCTTAAAAAGTTCCTCGGAGTCCAAGAATTAAGTATTGATATTAATAAAATATATCCTTTTTTACTTCTTGCAGCCACTGATTCTAAAAATCAGTATTTTTTCTGGAATAACATAAAAAAAAAAGTACCTGATGCATGGTATTATATTTATTGGCATACAACATATGTAAATAGCCTTCCTTTTTCCAGTTAGATAAAAGTTGGAAACTTCAGTATGTTCTTTTAAAGTTTCATTAGACTATTTTAGAGGGGAAAAATTGAATCATTTATATATAGTTTACTGAATGGGCTCTGTTGTGAGAATAACAATAAAAACAAAAAGAAAACTGATCACCAAACATCTAAACTGTAAGAAACAAAAAATGTCTCATATTTACACACATTTATATCTTGGGGGGATATTGCCATTTTTTCTGTTACTAAACATACATGTTTGAAAAATCTAATAACAAGTCAGACAGGAATATTGCTAAATTTGATATGAATAAGCCTGCAATGATGTCAGTAGGAAGCCATCATGTTGTGGGACTCTCTTACTGGGAGACTCAAATTTTATTTTTTTATTCCTGCCAAAATGGTTGCTATAATACATTTTAGAGCGTGAGCTGCAAGTTTATGTAATATTAACTCATATTTTTTTTAATGGTTGGTATAATTTAATTGCTTTACACAACTGTTGCAATTTCATTTCTGACTGTGAATCTCGGTGGGTTAACTGAGGTCACTGTCGTCTGTAAATGCCAATGGCTCATAGTTATAGCATGCTTAAATCTTACCTTACCATCTACAGCTAACATACCGAAAGCAAACATAAAAGAAGTGCTAAAATGCAAACATTTTGGCACCCTGTTGAGAACTACTTCTAAACCCTGCTGAATCACTTTTACAGACTAACCAAAACGAAGCACACAAAGGTTTTCAGATTTGTTCCCATGGCATACATGCAGCAGAGGGCAACATGAAACATTAGAATGGCACAAAGAACAAGTCAGCCAACGTTAATCTTCCTGCAGAGTGACTGAAAGGTCAAAAATCTCAACCATTGTGCCACAGATGTGACCAGCTTTCATCTGCACTCTGATCACTGCAATTTATATATAAATAGCCTAACCACTTCGTTCTTGGTCTGCTGTGTCATTCTTAAGAGGTGACATTGCCATTCTAATATGATGAATAGCCGAACCCAGAGACTTCCAGACACTGGAAACACGATGCAGTGCTAGAAGGTTCTGCTAGTGTTTTTCACTACATGCTAAAGGCGTAGCAGAAACGTACCTGTGTGGTTGTACACCACATCTGTGATGCAAAGCATGCTCCACTCTTTCTTAAGTTTCTCCGTCAGGTTGCCCACATCCATCCAAGTGTAGTTCTTGCCAGGTGAGGAGAAATCAGGGTTCAGCTCCAGCTGATCAGCTATGGAGTAGCATGATCGTGATGCGCCTAGTTTCTGCAGAGGCGTGAAGTGGATCATATTGTAACCTGAACATTAAAAAAAAAAAAAAACGTCATCTACTTTAGATGAATGGAGCTTTTTGTACCTTACATGGTTACATTTGGCCAAAAATAGCTTGTTGGATAGTTAGTGTTTCGCCATCTGGTGTTGAAACCATGGCGAAGAGGTTCATTCATCCATATCGCACAAATGGTGCGGGACAAGTTACACACCAAAGTTTAATACTTAGGGTTAGTGGTTTGTTCAAGTACTATGGGCAATAGTAAAAGTTTGCCTTAGCCAACACCACTAATGATAAAAAACTTGTTTGCAGCTGTAAGGTGAAATTAATATTAATTTCACTTTTAATCTTGTTAATTGAAAAATGCTTGTTTGGACTGCTGATAAACACAGGCACATATGGCATGCATGCTAATACTTATTATTTAAGTGACTATGAAAAGCAGCAATAACCCAGAGATAGTCTAAGTGGATGAAGTTTAACCTGGTTTTATGTGAGACATGCCTTTTTTCTATGCATTAAACTCTATTACCCCCATAGTCACAGACAATAGGGAGTAAATACCCATTTTATAAACATTAGTAAATGTTTCTCATACATGAGTTTCAACAGACAGTGATTCATACCAGTTTCCTTGGCCACTCTGAGTCTGTCCAGCCATTCATCCAGAGGGCCCAAACACTTAGCAAGGTAAGTCTGAACTGTAATGCAATCGAGAGGCAGGATCTTCCTCTCATGACCAATACGCAACACTGGATCCACAACAATGTAGCCACCTCCGGTTCTTTCCTCATTCCTGTACACACAATATAAGGAAACACCTTTTTTCTCTGAAGGCAATTAGAAACTGCCTAAATTCCAAGAAGTAAATGCAATAATACAACTCACTCACCCGCACCCAAAGTAATACTGATAAGAGCCTGCTATCTCCAGGTCCAGTTTGCAGTATTTGTCTGAATCATCCTCTCTGCCGCTGGGGTTCACCCACTCCAGCTGATGGAAGCTGGAGCTGACGAACTTCTTGCCCGGTGCTGGGTAGTTGATGTGGACATGCACACTCTTACCCTGCAGGGTCGGGCCCAGGCGCAACTGAAGCTCAAAGCCTAAGTGAATTTTATGCGAGTCACATGAGAAAACTGCAGGGGGCGTTGCACAACCAATATCCCTGTAAGACTGAAACTTTAGATTAAATACTGCATTTATCAGTCAAGTTACATGCATCATAAATTATTGTGTTCAATAATGTATGTTGTAGTCCTTTTTTTTTTTAATAAAAGGGTTTAAAAATGCACTTTTCATGTACTGTGTAATTTACGTTTTAGAACAAATAATATAAAACATGAAAATCTTAAATATTCTATTTTACTTTTTTTTTTTCCAGCAGTTATCTATTAATTAAATATTTTCTTTATTTCTCCTTTAAAGACACTGGTTATAAAACTGGTTATAGTGTTGTTTATGCATATATTGTTTGGGGTACAATAAAAAAAAAAAGATCTAACGCATGGCATTTTAATGCATATTTTAAAAAATGTGCAAAAAGCCAGTGCTAAATGGTGGAAATTGTAGAACATTTATATTGTACAACATAACACGAAAATCTCTTCAAGTAGACTGAGATCTTATTTTACCCATAAATCTAAGATATTTAAGTTATTTCACAAACTAATAAAAATTCAAGAGGGAACCCATGGCTTAGAAGTGTTAATGCTAAAAATAGTTTTAGGTAAGCAGTATGCTGGTATTCTATTCCATACAGAGCAACAAACTGACCTTTGTAAACTATATTTACATTATCTGCACTGCAAAACCTAAGCACCACAGAAAATGGCACAGAACACCAGCACATTCCTCTGCTATATATAGCAGACAGCTTTTTGAATGTGATATTTGGTGCTCAAGCACCATGAGTAACACGTAAATCTATCCAAAGCTACTCCAGGGGTCCAAAGTGTTGAGTTGCAGAAAGTAATAAAGTAAGAGAAATAAGAGGGGAAGAATAAATTATGCGATTAACACCAGCATTAAAAATGATACAATAAATATATAAAATAATAAAATAAACATCACGATGGCATAGATAATGATGACATTGCATTTGCAATGCACAACTGATTATAAAAAAGTAATTGTAACAATAAGACCTAGACCTACCTTGCTCCAGGCGAAATAGAGTGCGCTCCAGTCTCTCCATGTCATTCAGGAGAAGCACTCGGGTCTGTTTGCCACGGAACATGTTGGCGGTGCTTTTTTGGGATGCCCTTTAAACACAGGAGAGGTTACCTCTGGATCCCCAAGAGCGCAGGCTGCCATATGATAACAACGAACACCATGTGAACAATCTGCTGCAACTGATACAGGCTAGTGGAGGATTTGCATGTTTCAGTTTCTCAACAATGTTTGCATAAAAATCTGACCTACTGATCTAACATGATAGATAGATAGATAGATAGATAGATAGATAGATAGATACTGCAGTGTTACACAAATCACACAATTTACAAAATATACATCATGACTACTGTATATACTGTACATTATTTGAATTTTGCACAAATACAGACACATGAATAGTATATGATAAACATTGCATGATTAAAGAATTATTTGTTGAACACTTTATATTGCACACCTTTAAAAGCTAAATTGTAGGTATTGTTACAACATTTAATAAACATATTAAAGACTTTCAAAACAACAACAACAACAAAAGACTTATCTTGACACATGGGATTTTTTACAATTGATAGTACATGATAAGCACTTCATGCATTAGTCTGTAAAGTAAATGTTAAAACAAGGTGCCATAACTTAAAATTAGCTATTGAAAGTTTAATTACCAGCAACATCCAACTCCTCACCGGAGTGTCACACGATGTTGGCCACAGAGCAGAACGTATGCGTCTAATAGGGTTATGCATCTGAGGTGACATGACCTTTCAGTGACCCTAAATATAGCCAGCACCTTTGGAGTAACATCTCACTGGTTACATCAGGCAAAGCCTGTGATGAACATGCGTTGATCATGCAGCACAGGTGTGTTATGTAATATATTATTAATATAATTTGTATTGTTATCAATAATGGATATTTTATATCGAATTACTCATTATCGTTTATTATTATTACTAGTGTATTTCAGCAAGTAACACAAGCAGAAGCTAACAACACGACTTGGATTACCTGAGGCGTAAGGCCCAGTGCCACTGGTAATCACGGCCATGCTGATTATTCGGTATTATAGAACTCTTGCTCGTATGATACTGCTTAAATTATTAGTATTATTATTACTACTACTTCGCTTGAGTTCACGAGAAAAAAAAACACCGACTGCGGTCAGGGGTTGCCAGGTTTTCACAACAAAACCCGCCCAATTGCTGCCCAAAACTAGCCCAATTGCGTTTCGGTGGGGGGTCCTCCGGTAAAAATCGCGTTCCGGTTGTGTAAAATACACCTTTTTTTGGCGTTGTTCCCCGGTAAAATTCGCAGTCCAGGGGCTAAACAGCTTCTTATTGGGTTCAACCCGCGGACATGAAAGACAACCTGCAGCAACAGTGTTAAAGTAGCCAATATTCCTGCGGCCTTCAAACAAAACGCTACTCTGTCGCGACGAAGGAACACTCAAGGCCAAACAAATTTGAGGACTGGAGCTAAGTACAATTACAAATATTTGTTACAAATAACAAAAATTTATTATTTGTTACAAATACCAATTAATTAAAAAAAATCCAATAATGATAATAAACGCCCCTATTCTTTACTTTAAACTTCTACTTCCTGTCCTCAAATGTTTTTGAACTAGGGACATTTATTATTATCACTATCACTCTTACCATGTATGTGTATATATATATATATATATATATATATATATATATATATATATATAT